GTTGGCTCAGCATTGGAATATTTAGGAATCCATTACTGTAGCAATAAGCATAGTTGATTGAATACATTTGACAGGCCTTTTTGACTTCACAGTCAATGATTGTACAGTCAATAGCATCACTGTGACTCCTTTCATTTACTCGGGTGTCTTTTGGACTGTATCCCACCAAAAAAGTCAAATTTATTTCCAAGCACACATGCACTGGACAGTACTGTAAAACTCTATCTCATAATTTTGCTGCTTTAAAATATTTGTGACAACTGGAATGGAATCTTCAGAAATAAAACCTGTATATGCTACAAATTGCAGTGAAGGCTGAATATAGTAAGATAACAGATGAGTCCGATGCCAACATTTTTAACAATAACTGGTGAACAATTGTATTGTACAAGATAGTTTGATTCTATGCAGACTTGCCTGAAATTATTCACATCCTATCATATGGAAGGATTTAAGAATGAATTGTCAATTGCAGCTTTTCAACGAATATATAGCGTCTAGAAAAGATGCATTTTATCACCATCTAACATCATTCTTCTTACACTGCCCTAGACCAATAGCATCACAGCCAGTACTAGAATTTAAGCCATCCATAAAAACAATTGAAAAATAGGCATAGGCCACAAACTGATAGCTAAAATGAATCTCAGTTCAAATTCCAGAACTGTATTACAAATGAGCAGGGAAAACGACTTTTAAATTGTGTAAAATATGATGCAGTGATTTTTAAAAAACTCATATTTTTAAAGAGAATTCCATCAGTGAAATACTTTTTAAATCACCACAGCATGGGTCTTTACCATAGGCAGGACTTAGATTAGGACATGACTTTCTTACATTTTTGGGGAGCTGCAAAGCTAGGCTAATGCAGGAAAATACATACAGAACCAGCTAAAGTTGAGTATAACCATACCTTATCCTTACAATAACCATTTTTATGAATCAAGGAAGATTCTTGCACTGCACACAGTCTCATTAAAAACCCTACTCATTGCATCTCACCAACAATTAGCTTTACTGTATGTACTCTCATCAAACTGATTATTGCTCCCAGTTTCAGCTGCAAATCATCTATTATTCAGCTGGAATGCAAAGATAGATCATAAGGTATTATCAGACATTATGTTCAAATCCCTATAATATTTTCAAGAAGTTGCATATGAGCATTAACATGCAAAGACCAAGAGAACCTGGTAGAATCCATAACCAAGAAACCGTGGGGGAAAGCAGAAGTCTTTGGCAGCAAACCTGAAAGGTAGAAACCTAATTATTTCACCAAATCCCCCAATTCCCACAAAATCGTTCTTCCAAGAAATTCTGCTCAATGCTGTCTAGTAGCTAAGGGAAAGATTCCCTTAGCATTCCCTCAGTCCCTGTCCCAACAGAAGTAATCGATAACAAAGTTGTTTTAATTACTAAGGCTGAAGCCTGATTTAAATGAGCTTAGATATTTATCTAAGTTTCATTTATTCATTCTGCAACCTTTTATGACCACCCGTTTACAAGAAGGAATTCTGAGAGTAAAACAAGAGTAAAACAATATTTTTTTAAAACTAATTGAAACAAATAAAAATAAAATTGAGGTCACGCACAATAAACATCCATCAACCAACCACATTAGATCTTCCCTGCTTTCTTGAAGGCCAACAGGCTTGAGGTCATTCATATCTCTGGGAGAACCTGTTCCACCAGAGTCACCATTACAGAAAAAAACATATTTCTTTTATTACTTCTGAAATAGGCTATATGGAGAGCAACTTGGTTTATACTGTACGTTGTATTAAACCTTAGGGTCATTTAGTTGCTTTTGGCTCAGGGTGTTATGAGAACCCAACTGGTATGTAAACATAATATACAGTTCAGTCCATTATCAAATACATGATAGTTTTGTTTAAAAGTATTTTCTATGTAAGTAGCCAATTTTTTTTTTTTTTTTTACAATTTAACTCTGGGTGCATAACTTCTATCAGCTCAAGGGCCACATTAGGCTTTGTGTGTCCTGTTGAAAATAGCATTTTAAAAGTCAGCATGGCCTGGATCCTTTGGGGAATGGTTTTGAAAATTTTAATGGATGAAACTGGAGCCTTAAATATCTGCAGAAAGTCCTACTTTGCCCCTTAAAACCTCTCCAAACTTGTAAAAATTCAGTAATAGACAAAAGTACATTTTCTTTTGGCCTGCTCTCTTTGGATGAAGAGGCCTTGCATCTTGCACTCCTGTTCTAACACCAGTACCTCGATGGCTCATTAGTAAATTATTTTATTTGAATATGACAGCATGCACTCTGCACGCAAGAGTGATGTCATTCTTGTTGTATATCACCTGCCAATATCTCAGAAATGTTGGCAAAGTCATCTAGATTCAGTCTTGGTTGTAACATTAATTAAAATGCATTTTAATATTGTAGCTTGATCACTCCAACCCAATGTATAATATCCATGGTATATGCATTAAGCTAGTATTAAAAAGGCAGCAGTATCTTCAGTTAATACACCCTGGATTAAATTCCCATATGGCAGTGATCATAATATAGTATCATTGTGCTGCATTCCATAGACGTTTCAACTATTGCTCATTTAAGGATCCTGTTTTATATCACTTTTTTGATACAATAGCCATAAATAATACGCTACAATCATGATGCTTCTAGAGCTGAGGCTATCAAAAATGATCTTACGCTGCAAAAATTGATCTTACCACATATAAAGCTTCCTGCAGTAAGATTTTTCTGTGGTTTCTCTAGCTCTTTATGGCCTCTCAGCTGAACTCTAGCAAATCATGTATCAGTCTGCTACAAAAGCATTTTCTCCATGTCAGCAAATGCAGCCTACAGATTTTTTTTTTGTTTATTCCTGCGCAGACAATCTATTCACTTTCAGGCTTGCCTGGCACTTTACAGGGCTCGATCCAGAGTATGTTTATTCAGACCCAAACACCATTTTGCTTTATTGATAAATGCTAAAATCACCAGAAACAAGATAGGTATAAAGTGTCCCAACATGCACCTGAAACAGCTGTTCCCATGCGCACCTACTTTCGTCCAGTTTTAAAATTAGTCAGAAAGTATAGATATAAAAGTGAACTCTTTAGGAAATTGGCCTGAAATTTTATTTTTCCACAATATATTTCTAATTTAGAGAATTCTACAGCCTGTCACTGATTACTAAAGCCCAGATATATTACCAATCACTGAACTTGGGAATGTTTTGAGTCCCATCCCCTAAGGAGGTACTTCTGGTGGGACTCAGAAGAAGGGGCTTCTCCATGGTGGCTCCCTTCCTTTAGAACATCACCAGCAGGCCTAGAGAATACAGAGTGGGATGGAGCCCATCAAATGGCTTGTTTGACTAATTGCTGTGATGGGAGGGGTGGTGGTTATTTTGTTGTTATTGTTGTATATTGGGTTTTTATTTTTTTTTGTAAGCTGCCCAGAATCACTGAGAGTGTGTGAGAGGCCATATAAATGTTCTAAATAAATAAACAAACTTGGGAGAGTTGTATCAGAGGCTTCTACAACGAAGTATGAAGAATGTGGGAGCAGCTGATCCTACATGGAATATCTTTTATGTTAGGGGCTGCTAAATAAGATTTAATCTTTTATGTTTTATGGTCATTTGTGGTTTTATTTTATTGGAAACGGCCTATAACCCATAATGACACGTGACATATACATAATAAATAAGAGCAAAACCTCATCTAGAGAAAGGAAATATGAATGGATCCCTTCCCTGTAAAACCTTTTCAATCCCAAACAAATTCATTTGGAAAGCCCGCTGAATTAAATTAGAACAGCAGCAATCATAAGCATCAGGCTGTACTTAAAAAAACACATTACAGATAGTCCTCAACCTATGATCACAATTGAGCCCAAAATGTATGTTGTTAAGTGAGACTTTTGTGAAGTGAATTTGCTCCATTTTACGACCTTTCTCCCTACAGTTGTTAAGTGAACCACTGCAGTTCTTGAATTAGTAACACAGCTGTTAAACGTATCTGATTTCCCCATTGACTTTGCTTGTCAGAAGGTCACAAAAGATGGATGACATGACCCTGGGACACTCCGTCATAAATGTGAGTCAGTCATTTCAAATGTAAATCACGTGACCATAGGGATGCTGCAAAGGTCGTAAGTGTGAAAAAATGGTCATGAGTCATTTTTGGTTTTGGTGCCGTTGTAACTTTGAACGGTCACTAAAGGAACAGTTGTAAATTGAGGACTAACTGTACATAAACCCAGGGACAAGATAACCTAGAACAGGTTCTCAGCAGAAGAGATTTCCTAAAGAACCCCGCACCTGTTCTTCTTATCATGCATTGACAAAGCAAATAATCCTTATTAGCAAAAGTTATAAGGAGGCGTCCTTTCTAAATCACTTTTTCTAGGGAATGGGGGGGGCGGGGGGCGAGGGAATTAACACCTGAGAGTGCCCTCTGCCGGTGGAATGAAGCATAGCTGTTCAACTTCGTCGAGGGAAAAACAAAAAAAAAAGGATACGCGCGCTGGAAGAAGCTAAATTAGCAGGCAGATGCTGCGCCCGAAACGGAGGAAAGCAACAGCAAGAGGAACGGAGCATGGAAGGCAGTAAAGTGGGGTTTGGGATCCAAAACTGAGCGGGATATCCCGTGTAAAATGACAGCCGGGTGCGGCAGGTAGAGAGAGAGAGAGAGAGAGAGAACACTGACGCGGGACGATAGGTACAAATGCTGCAAAGGACGAGAAAAGGCAGGAAAAGCGGCAACGTTGGGCGCCCAGAGAAGGCTAAAGGGGAACTGTCGGGGAAGCGTGTGCCTCTGCCTTGCCGGATTCGGATAGAGTTGACTGGATGACAGTAGACCGTCTCCCCCCACCCCACTGACCCCCCTCCCCACCGGTCCTTCCATCCGACTTCAGCCTCCCGCGCATGCTGCCCCCCGGGGACATCCACCCCGGTCTCCGTTCCTTCCCGCCACTTGCGGCGCAAGCGTGCGCTCCGTCGATGGCGCGCCTTGCGCTGCCTCACCTGCTTCCGAGACGACGCCGATCCAGAGGCAGAGGCAGAGCGCGCTCAGTCTCTCCATTCGCGGCGCCGGGCCGACAGCCCGTCGGGGAGGGAAGGCGGCGGGGCGAGACGGACCCATCTTTTTTCGCTGCTGCTGGAAGGAGCGGCCGGTTTTCGCCCGGCGCAAACGCCGCTCCATCCGCCCCCAAGCAGAGCGGACGGGCTGTCGGAGGAGGGTGAAGGGGGGGTGGGGGTGGAACGGCTCGGCCCCGCTTCCCTTTCCTTTTCCTCCCCTTTGCTGTCGCTGCCAGAGAGTCCTCCTGCCTGGGCGGCTCAGCCAACTGAGGAATTCGGCCAATGGCTCTGCCCCGGGAAGGTACCGAGCTGGGTGTGAGGAGCGAGCAAAAGTGGAAGGAGAAGGGAAGGGAAGCGAGCAAAAAAAAAAAGAAGAAAGAAAAAAAAAAGCGGGAAGGGCGCCGGAGCTGTTAATCGACGGCTGCGGGAGGTCGAGTGGCCAAGAGCAGAAAGTGCGAGGCCGGGTGGAGGCGGCCACAGATGACGGGGTGGGGCTTGCTGAGCGGAATCGAGCTCGGGACAGAATGGGCTGAGAGAGAAAAAAGGCGGCGGCGGCGGGTGTGTGTGAGGATGCTTCGAAGGGAGCTGACAGAGTGGCGCGGGATGTTGAGGGGAGAGGAAACGAATCGGGTCGGGAGGAAAGGGGAATCGGGGTTCTTAGCGGAAGGCGGAGGTAACGAAGTGACTGAGGGGGAGAAAGCAGATAGGTGGAACGGAGTCAATAGGTGCACGAAACACGCCGACCCAAAAGAGCCGAAGGGAAGGGCATATGAGAGAGTTCCCCAACCAGACCTGCTGATCCCCGAGACCGCTAAAATAAACCTCAGAAAAAGGCATCTTAGGATCGAAGATTGAAGTCAACAAACCGAGGTTTTCCTGACCCGAACGTTGTTGAATTAATAATGGCTCTAGTGGTGCTAATATATTCGAACGGGATGAATAACGACCACAAGCATAAAACCACAAGGCTCTCGTTATGTATGTATAAGTGGAAAGGAGAGAGCCATTCGTTGAATAATAATAAAAAAAATAAAACGATTTTTTTGCTCTGTTCATTTTCTCTTTGTAACCAGGTAATTGGGAGACTGGTATGGGTTGATCTCGAGCTGAATCTCTCAGAATCTTTTTGGCTCACTCTATAACATTGTCCAGCAAGTCATAAACATGAAAGTTGGAATTGATCATTTAAGCTTCTTGAAGGAAGGGGAGAGAAATTCATTGCAATAGCAATATACCGCAACTACTTTGCTATGCATTCCTGTATTTGTCAATTTGACAAGATTGACTTGGAAATCGTATCAGACCATGCTGGTATGCATTTTATATTAATAAGCATATTCACATTCATTGCCAATGACCTATGGTTAACTAGAACTGTGGGATCATGCATGCTCTCCCAATATATTCAAAACTTCGGAATAAGGATACAAACATTTTAAGCACATGAGAGTCATTGACAAACCTCTTTAACTACAAACAACAATATCAGCAAGAACTGACTTGCTATTTCCTCTCTTGTTTGTTGTTTTGTTTCCTTTTTGTTTCTTATTCAGCAAAGCCCACATTTAAGAACTGCACAACAAGGTTCTCAAAAAGAAAAGAAAAAAACCTTTTTATGACCCATGTAAGTCCCTGATTTGGGGTAGAGTCAGGGCGACTGAAAGTGAGCCAAAAATTCAGATATTGGTATCTTACTAGTTTTTTGCTTCAAGTCACTGCTTTGCTGTGAAGTGTGCAATAGGTTCAGTTGCCTTTTGCTCTAGCCTAATTCATGGAGATATTGACAGCCTACAAAATGCTATATTTATTTGCATTCTTACAGGATGAGTTCTTGTAGATGGCCTGCGGAGAAGATAATTGTTCTAAATAGTTTGCATTTTAAAGGCTCTACTGTATTAAACTCTGTTTGATAGTCAGACATGTTTCCTTCTATATAGGGATTGTAGTTCTGTCTGCAGAAAAAAAATGCATGTCAAAAATGCTAGGGCATAAGAACAGATAATAGTTTTGCAGTGGTTGGCTACCAGCTGCAATGTGTGTTTGTGGGTGCAAACGTCTTCAAACTGAATGGCTTGTGTGAACAAAAGGTGAAAGGAGATACGTTTGGAACTGGCATATTATTCTCCATAGCTGACTTTTCACTTCGATAGGAAAGCAGAAAATGAGAACAATGCAGAAATTAAATTGCATTATTGACTTCTTTGCGTTAATACACCTGAATCTTTCCTTGCATCTTAGAAATATTACTGAATCCTTTAATTTATAACATATTATTATTAATGTATTTAAAGCACAGCACTTTTTCTTTGCTTGCTTGAAAGCACCCAAGTATTGGAATTGTTCTGAAAATAATAGTGTACTTCTTTTTTCAATAAAAATGGATTAAGGTTTTAATATTCACATTTAGAGATGTATATAAATACATAGTTTGCTTTGATGAAGTTTAGAACTAGTGTGTCACTAGATGTAAACACATGAATCTTGCAAGTTATTGGAGAAATGTGTCAAACTAAGTAAAAATGCACAGACTAAATTACTTGTCTTTTACATCTCATGTTTATGTCTGTCTTGGCAGGGTTGGTTATAATTCAAACATTGCATAGTCTGATTTTTAAAAGTACAGTAACATTTGAAGTGAAACTAAATACTCAAGTAACAGCTGATGTGTTTTAAAAATGATACATACATGGCTAATTTAACACTTTCATCCCTACAATTCTTCTACCCAAAATCCTATCAAATTGCTATAAACTGCCTGAAGATGGTTAGAATGATGTCCAAGTGCAGGAAATAATGTTTCAGGGCAGACTAGGCTGGGCAGACCAGGATCTTCTGTATACCTGGGCAGACTAGGATCTACTGTAACTAGGTTGCCCCCTTTATACAAGCTTTGATTTGGTTTAAGTAATCTATTTGAGGGAAATGTAGAAGGTGAAAAAAGGAAGTGATGACCAGGGGAATAGATAAGCATAAAATAGCTCCACTGATCTTCCCACCAAACAATGCTTAGGAAGTGGCTGAGATACAACTACTGTATCATTTTCTCTTGCAACTCTCAGGTAGACCCCCACAGAATTCAGTGTAACCTAAGATTGCAGCTCTAAGACTGGGCAAACTCTGGTACTTCCAACATTGCTGAATTACAACTCCCAACATCCTTCATCACTGAAGCTGCTAGAAGGTGTTGTTCAATAGCATTTGGAAAGCACTTCCCAGAATTGTATTAAAGTCATTTGAATAATGGGAGTAGAGATGTTGTATCACAGCTCTGACATCTTGTGCCCCCCTCCCAGTTATAATTGGAAAGAGACAGTAAATATTGCACTTAAGAAAGAACCAGCTGTTTACATTAGTTCTGCTTGGCAGATTTGTTAAATGCCAATGTAACACATGCTTTCTTTTATTCCCTATTGTTTAGATGTGTGCTGTTCTAGAAGACACCAGAGCTCCTAATTGTTTTGGAGCCATTCACAATGCAGACAGCTAGAACAAGGATAGTATTCTGATAAAGAGTAAAGGGAGGAAAGAAATAAGCAAACAAAAATCAAAGAGCAATATGCAAATAGTGCTAATTTATCCATTTGTAAAGTGAGGACTTTGAAGAGATACAACATTATGTAATTTCAAGATTAAAAATGATTCAATGTAGGCAATCTGGGCATCAGCCTTTTCAGAACAGATAGTATTTTCCGAGCATGAGTTGAACCTGCTTCGGTAAATTAATAGGATGGGTTGTGCTAGGGGGGAAAAATGCAATTTTGCATTTTTACACGGAAATATGTGTTCAATATTTCTTGATGGTGTGTACTCAATTTCCTTCCCAAACTATTTTGAATATACACGTCCTGTTTCTAAAATCAAATGGCAAGGAATGAATATTATAGCAAACATTTGAGATTCTGGAGCAAAATTCTGGAACCTAATGATAAAATAATACATACTGTGCAATTTAGTATAATCATAATCTTTATATAGCTGGTTGTGTCAATTAAGAAATTTAAATATTTATGTTTAATTAAAATTATGTCCCATCATTTGGGTTGCAATAAAATGTTTAACAACTATTGCCTTAGACTTAGAGGAAGCATTCATGATAAAACATATGAATACATTATCTAAATGTATTAAGACTGCCTACTTTTTGCTGAGAATAAAGCAATAACTGAATGACATAAATATTTTATCTACATTATCTAAATGTAGATAAAATATTTTCATCATTCAGTTATTGCTTTATTCTCAGCAAAAAGTAGGCAGTCTTAATTGTTTAAGTCTTATTAATTTTCTGAGAAGAGTGAAGAATAATTGAGATGACAATTTGCTTGGGATTAAACTCCATCTGAATAAATGTTTATAATACTGTAGTTAGTTACTTCCTAGCTTTGATTACTGAACTTGTACAAACTTTTTCAGTCATTTTTAATATAAGCATTGCATTAATTGCTTTTATTTTTTAAAAATACCCTTTTCTGTCCTAAAGCTCTATTATTTAAAGCTACAATTTATATCTACAGTATCATTTCAATTTTCCAAAGAAAGTATAGTTAAATTTCTGAGTCTTATTAAGTGTAATACCTGTTACTGTATACATACATAGATACTTATACTTATTAAGTGTAATAACTGTTCATAGAAACATTAGAGCCATGGTGGCACAGTGATTATAATGCAGTACTGCAGGCTAACTCATTGCACAGTCCAGGAGTTCAATTCTGACTGGCTCAAGGTTCACTCAGCCTTCCATCCTTCAGTCAAATGGGGACCCAGATTGTTGGGGTCAATATGTTGTTGAAAACTGTTTAAAGGGGGCTGTAAAGCACTATGAAGTAGTATATAAATCTAAGTGCTATTTCTATTGTAGCTACATTCGCTCTGGAATTGTGCACTAGGAGATTCTCGGGATTCTTAAGTTTGTGATGCTAGGTGAAATTATTTGTGGATCACACCATTGAATTTTTGAAGCTTCTTAACACTCTTTATTCTAAAACTGTTTCCCAAAACTATCATAAACTGAAATGATATGAGAACATGAAATTGATTGATTGATTGATTAGGTGCCATCAAGTCATTTTTGACTCCTACAGTATTATTAGGTATCTTCAAAATCATTAAAGTGTAAAGGCATTATTCTTCCTATCTTGCTTCTTTAAAGTATAATTTTTGCTTTCATAGAATGTTACAGGGAATACTCTGGCACACACTATTATCATCTTTGTAGACATAAATTTATCATGGCATAATCCATTCCAAGGGCTTCATGGCTGCTCTACCAATTGCCAATCTTCAGTGTATTACTTAATTGTTTGTTCCTTTACTGTTGATAATTGATCTTAAAAGGCAGAAGCTATCCTTCACTTCAGTATCTCCATTATCAGTTGCAAGGGTGGTTGTTTGTTGTTATTAATTTG